TATGTATGAGAATGCACATTGTCTGTCGAGATTCTACTCTCACCGAATTGTCCATTTCAGTCCTTTTTATCACACTGCAGTTCCTCGGTTATTACAAACATCACATATCTGTGCATGTAACAGAGGCGGAATGCTTAACTACAATGTACAGAGAGGAAAAACAGTGGTAAAAAAAAAAAGTAAAAAAAAAAATCGACTGATCACACTTCAGTACTCACCCGTCCACGTTGTGGAAGATAGGTCAATCAAAGCAAATATCACCGTCGGAAAACGTCACTGGACCTCTGCTGCCCCTGAAGTTGCATTCACCCATCACAAGCTTTGACGACATAGATATCAAGACTGTCACGAGCAAGGCAGCAGCCATCGCCGAGCTGGAACCAGGCTTGCCCATGATGGCGGCCATGAGTGCTACACTCACGTAACGTCGTAACCCCCCACGTAGTACACACGCGCACAGCCCAGATTCAAGCCCACCGCTGGCAGGACACAGAACACTGGCAGGCAATCAGGAAAGCACCGAGGGCAGCAGGAGGACCGGAGGGAGAAAGAGGAAGTGAGAGTGAGGGGAAAATCTCTTGCAGAGGGCATAGGATCAATCGATGAGCCCTCAATATATACTTAGTCGTTGTAGATCGATACTCGCTCCACTGCACAAACAGTCCAGATGCACCCGGTCCAGAGAGTGTCCAATTGCATGCATGATGCATGTAGAACTGGAGCTCCTCATACTCTCAACAGGCACGGTCAAAATGATGGAGTCGTCCGAATGCAGCTGGTCGACCGGGTGTCCAATTGCATGTGCCATGCAGAATGTCGGGTGGTGGATGGAGGGCGCAATGGCGCACCTGGTCCATCTTCTGCATGAGCGGACCGCTTGGACCGAGCCACAAGCAAGGATTTGAACTTAGGCTCTGTATTTCAACAGTTCATGTTTGTATGTTTGGCGTCCTTGCCCAGCAGCCATGTTAATGAAACAAAAAACGGGGAACTACGCCAAAATGAGTTATAATTGCAGTATGGGCGAAGATACAGTTTCGAATTGCAGTTCGGGTAATGTATACAACCCAGCTCTCTGGCCAGGTAGGGTGCTCTAGGTGCCATTGCAACCTGTATCTTGGGCCATAGTCCAATGACAACTCGTTCTTGTGACTCTACTGAAGTTACCCTTTTTCTTCTCTCTACTCTCAGTAGATGGGAGGCGCAGCTACTGGCAAAATGTTCGGTCTTTGTTTTAGCCTGTGCCCCCTGAAACAGGCCCACCTGTGGCCCCACCCGTCTCCCTGACCACCGCCGATCAGGGCTTGCAGGGGTCCTCTGTATAGGCTCAGGAGTAGTGGTGGGTACCATACTGAAAGGTGAAATTGAGAGAAGATTATGTCGTAGTTATAAAAAAAGAAAAAAAAAAAAGAAAAAAACAAACAGATGGCCGGAATTATGGGATAATTGGTGGAAAGCCCCCGGGAAAGTTGGGCGCCAAAACCAGAAAGGTTTAGGCGTGGATGCATTCTATGTTCTGACTTCTACATCCAACAGCAGCATTATTCAGGGGATAATTGGTGGAAAGCGCCCAGGCCAAACTCTTTTTGGTTTTGGGCACCCAAACAAACTTTTTTCTGGCCTGGCAAAAAGTGCCCAAGGGCAGCACAGGCCGTGGGATGCAGAAATTTGGTGGCCGAGATAGGGGTCTACAACCACAGCTCCTGTGCTGCATAGCATCTTCCCATGGATTACTCATTCAAGCCACAACATCACTGACAGACTGGCGACTCGTCGGCAGATTGTCTTCTTGAGTCCATCTTTGGTATCTTCAACCACCAGTACTTGGCCCAGCTATCGGCCACGGAGAAAAAGAGAATAGAAAAGTTTCTAGTCGGATGAATTTTTCCGCTCCTGTAGTGGCCTGTATGTTTTCCTAAAATTGTGGCTTGTTAACTTAACGGGCCTAACTTTAGGAAGTACTGGTTGTTTAACATTTAATTTAGTTGTTCGGAACTTTGAATTTTTGGTTTACCCTCACCGGGTCTGACTTTTCCGTACCTGAAGAGTGGAGTGAAGTAAAGTGGAGTGAAGTGGAGTAGAGTAGAGTGGAGTGGAGTGGCTCTGTCTCCCCACTCTCTCCCTACCTCTGTTTTTGGACATACTTGAGGAGTGAGAGAGAGGAGCTGTACCAGCCCCCACCCTCACCGGGTCTGACTTCTCCTCCCTACCTGAAGAGGCACAGTCTTGGACATACCTGATGAGTGAGTAAGGATACCGACCGGCCGCAAGGGTTTGCATTCGGAAGGATCATTTTTGCCAAAAAAGAAGAAAAAAAAAAGAAAAAAAAAGAGTCGAGCTGTACCAACCCGCTCCCCCACCAGCTCACACCTCTCCCTATACCACGAGGCACGGTCTTTGACATAATTGTCCAGTGAGAGCTAAGCTGTAAGGGGGGTGGTACCATCCCCTTCCTGCATTACTAAAGGACTGGGTTGCATTGCCAATTGGGGAATCAACCTGCAGCACTACCGGCAGCACTACCAGCAACCAGTCAATTCTAAAGCCATGACCTTTACCTCCCGAAAAGGCATGGCTTTTTGTTTTTTATTTTATTTTTTGTTTTCTTTTGTTTTCAAGGCATGGGTTTCGTTGACAGACATTGACAGAGTTGTTGCTGCACTTCACAACAGTTACTGCCTATCCGCTGCACTTCGTGACTGAGCATGGATGTCCTTACCTGAACATGGACTGTCCAAAGGCTGATTGTTTTTTTTTTTTTGGAAAGAAAGTACGTTCATGTCTCCCTTGAGTATGGAATGGGCATACTAAAAAACACGCGTCGGCAAAGAAAACCACGCCGACTTCGAAAAGGCGACAGAAGTACCGACCGCCGTGGTGTCAGACCAGTTGTCATGTTTACAGGGGTCGGCCGTGGTGTCAGAGGGGGAAAAAACATGCGCGTCCGCTGTTTAATGTTTTTTTTTTTTTTTCAATCTCAACTCACACAGCACCATCTATTCTGGGGGCCAGCAGTCAGGTTGCTTATTACTGGCAAGCATAACAAGCAAATTTACATGCGATAATTGGTGAAAAGCATCCACATATAGGGCGGTATTTTCATGCCACATCGGGCAGGTAGCCAAATAAGGCCCAGGGAAAACTGCCTCAGGTTGGCTCGGATGTGGGATGAAAATACCCCTCTATCGTTTTCCCTGGGTGCAGAGTACTGGTCCGTTTTTTTGGGGGCACCCAAAAGCAAAAAGGTTTTCGCTTGGGCGCTTTCCACCAATTATCCCAATTTACATACGTCCAATATATCCGAATTTATTGTGGGCGGCACTGCCGCAGCAGCCCTCCATAGCCCCTCTACTTCCTCTATTCGGACCTCCGTGCTATCAGGTGGATTCAATTATGATCAGGAGACAGCTCATGGTACTCTGTCACCATACAAATCCACCCCGGTCCAAATCTTAAGTTTTTTCTCTTTTTTTTCTTTTCTTTTGGGAGCAAGCCTTCAAAAAAAAAAAAAAAACTGAGAGCGCTCGCGACCATAAGGTCGTGAACTGAAAGGAAAGCCTGGTAGTTGGGAACCAGCCCAGGGTCCACCAGAATGGCAAGGGTAGCAAGTACTAGCAACCTTCTTTTTTCCCTTTTTTCCTTTCCCTTTGATGAAGTTTCTGGCAGGGCTAGTGTTGGAGCTGATAAAAAGGAGCCGTACAACACAGATATCTACTATTGCAGGGCTAGCAACCACCAACCGTAAACCGCTAGTACGCGGTCCCAGCATTGCAGAAAATTTTGGTCACCACAAGCAAAAGTCAGATGTGCCGCGCGGCCAGGCCCGCCGTTGAAAAACAAAATCGGTGGCCTCCAGAGTGGTGCGGGTTTCGTGCTGACATCCGCGGGGTGATATGTGGTGTACTGGTGCTTTAAACCGCTAGTACGCTGCCCCAGCCTTGCAGAAAGTTTTTGTTGCCACGCGCAAAACTGGGAGCCACCGCACAGCCAGGGGAGCCGGTGAAAAAAAGTATAGGTGGCCTGGGAAGTGGTGCGGGTTTCATGCTGACATCCACGGATGTTTGGTGTACTGGTGGTGTATTAAATGAAAACAAGAAAGAAAGAAAGAAAGAAAGGGGTAACCTCCGTAGAGTCACAAAAACGAGTTATAATTGCACTATGGGGCAAGATACAGTTTGCAATTCCACTTAGGGCACCCTACCTGGCCAGAAAGCTGGGTTGTGTACATTTCCCAAACAGCAATTTGAAATTGTATCTTGGCCCATAGTGCAATTATAACTCATTTTTGTGACTCCCGACTAGTTTCCTCAAGAAAGAAAGAAAGAAAAAGTTGCAAGAAAATGGTTCCAGTATACCAGCAGAATGGCAGCAGCCAAAGGTTTGGACGCCCAAAAACCGAAAAGGTTTCAGCGTGGACGCTTTCCACCAATTATCCCATTTTTTTCAGAGTAATTGGTAATAAGTGCGGCGACCAAACTTTTCTGGCATGGCAAAAAGCACCCCAGAAAGGCCGTCAGATCTCGGATGCCCAAATCTGGTGGGCGAGATTGGGGTCTATGACCGCTGGGCCCCTTCCTATCATTCTCGGTCGCCCGACGGGAAAGGTTTGGGCTCCCAAACCAAAAAAGGTTATGAAATTGGCGCTTTCCACCAATTATTAATATTATCCCTTAATTACAGAACCAGGTTCACAATCGGGTAGAAAGGGGCCCAGGGGTCGTAGACCCCAATCTCGGCCACCAGATATCTGCATCCCACGGCCTGTGCTGCCCATGGGGGCTTTTGCCCAAGCCGAAAATTTTAGGTGCCCAAAACCAAAAAGGTATTGCTGCTGGCATTCTGTCAGATGCAGAAGTGAGAACCTAGAATGCGCCCAGGTGAAAACCATTCCGGTTTTGGGCACCCAGCTTTCCCGGGGTCTTTCCACCCATCATCCCATAGTTCCGACCATCTGTGTTATTTTTTTATTTTTTATTTTTTATTTTTTATTTTTTATTTTTTATTTTGACTACGCTATATTCTTCTCTCAATTTCACCTTTCCCTATGGTACCTATCACTACTTCCTAGGCCTATACAGGGGACCCCTGCAAGCCCGATCCGCGGTGGTCAGGGAGTGGGGTGGGGCCGCAGGTGGGCTGGGGTGGGGGTCCTGCGGGCCCGGGTTGGGGGGGACGGGCTAACACAAAGACCGAACATTTTGCTGGACGATGCGCCTCCCATCTACTGTGAGTCGAGAGAATAATTTCTATTATTATTATTATTTTTTTTTTTTTAATTTTTTTTTTATATTTTTTTTATTAACATGGCTGCTGGGCAAGGATGACAAACAAACCATCGCGCCTACCTTCTTCCCCCGAATGAATGTAGACTGAAATATGCCCCAAATACAGCTACAATGACCGTACGTTGCATTTGGGGGAAGAAGGTAGCTCAGTTGGTACACCTATGAACTGTTGAAATAGAGAGCCTAAGTTTGAATCCTTCCCTGTGGCTCGGTCCTAGGCGACCGCTCAGGCCGAAGATGGAGCACGTGCGCCTCCATCCACCGCCCAACATTCTGCATGGCACATGCATTTGGACACCCGGTCGACCAGGTGCATTCGGACGACTCCAACATTTCGAGCGTGCCTGTTGAGAGTATGAGGAGCTCCAGTTCTACATGCATCATGCATGCCATTGGACGCTCTCTGGACCGGGTGCATCTGGACTGTTTGTGTAACGGAGAGAGTGTCTATCTACAACGACTACGTATATATAGAGGGCTCATCGAGTGATCCTATGCCCTGTGCAAGAGATTTTCCCCTCACTGGCACTTCCTCTTTCACCCTCTCGGTCCTTCTGCTGGCCTCAGCGCTTTCGTTCTCCTTACGATTGATTACGATCGCCTGCCAGCGTTCTGTCTCCTCCCAGCGGTCCATTTTCATCTGGGCTGTGCGAGTGTGTACTGCGCGGCGGGGGGGTTGCGGTAGTCTAGCACTCATGGCCACCTTCATGGGCAAGCCCGGTGCAAGCTCGGCTATGGCTGCTGCCTTGCTGCTGACAGTCTTGATATCCCTGTCGTCACAGCTTGTGATGGGTCAATCATGCAACTTCAGGAGCAGCGGAGGTCGAGTGACGTTATCGGACGGTGATATTTGCTTTGATGGACCTATCGTCCACAGGGTGGGCGGGTGAGTACTCGGTCTGCTAAGTCGATTTTTTTATTTTATTTTTTTTCCGCTGTGTTTCCTCTCCGTACATCGTAGGTCGGCATTCCGCCTCCCTCTCACACGCATCGCATAATTTCTCTCTTGATTGCAACGAGTTGTTGTTGTTTGCTTCACTGACACTGGTTCGATCCCCGAGGGAGACAGCGGACTCAGCGGAGGAACCTCGCTCTGCAGATTGCCGTGTATGCTATGGACCGGTGTAAATTGTCTCACAGGCTTCGGTGGTGTGTGTGTGTTGCCTGAGACCTGGTCGGTTGCCCTTCATCATTTTCCCGATTTTTTAATTTTTTTTTTTAATTGGAAAATCGTCCAGCATGTTGACCTTCAAAAAAAAAAAAAAAAAGGTCGCACGGACGTAGGGATCGGAGAGGCGACTGGCCGTTTTGTCTTCCCCGTTCTGCCCCATCTCCTCCACTCCCGACCACCCCAACCCAAAGTAGCAGTCCCCTCCCACGTGAAGTCAAAGGAAATCCGTTAAACTTGGAACGATACAGAGAGACGACTCACATTTAAAGTCATAATAATATTTTAAAATGGATGTATGATTGCCCTTTGTCCGTCCCGGATCTCAGCTATTGCTAAAGCCAGACTCGTATCGTTTGTTGATTCCTTGATTGGACACTAGGTGATTGAATCGACGCTTGATTGGATCGTTGATGATTGAAGTTATGTTTCCATTGTTAACACGAAGAGGGGGGGGGGGGGGAAGCGAAATGCAAGTAACTTTGCCACATCCAACACCGACCAGCAGGACACGAACTGCTCTCTATCTGTTCATCAAGTCACAAGTCAGCCAACTCGCAGCCATCTGGCCATGGATACAAGGGGAAAGTTGGTTTATGTCACCCCGAGTCTCGGATGGGCCAGGAAAAAACACGCACCCCCAAAGAAACCTGCCACCGAGTTAAAAAATGGGAAAAGTTATAGAAGCCCCGGGGGGCAAAACCTTTGTATCCATATCTCCCCAAAAATGGACTTGCTGCATTTGAGGTCCCCCAATAACTTTTCTGTATTTCTTGCTCCCCGGGAGGGCCTCAAACCGGGCCTGAGGCTGGGGAAGCTGATAAGCTTGGCTTTTTTCGAAGTTTACGTTCGGCCTGTGGCACACTTGCACTTTCTTGGATGTATCTTTCTCGAATAGGGCCCAGGTGAGGTGAAGGCTCAAGTACGTCCGGCCCTACTGGGCCCGTAAAGCCGCAATGCAAAAATGGCGGGAATGCGGGAAGTCATTTTAGGACCTTCGGCACACTTGCACTTTCTTGGATGTACTTTCTTGCATGTATCTTTCTCGAATTGGGCCCAGGTGAGGTGAAGGCCCCAGTACCTCCGGCCCGTACTGGGCGGGTAATGACCGCTATGCAAAAACGGCGGGAGTCATTTTCGGACCTGCGTCACACTTGCACTTTCTTGAATCGCACAGGTGAGGTGAAAAAAAGAAGTGCGGACGCGAGTATGATATGCCCTCTCGAATGTAACCCGAATATCGCCCACATACAAATGGGTTGGCTTGCGGCTGGAAATCAAGCTGAGGCGGCCTCAGGCCGGCGGCCTCAGGCCCAGTCTAAGGCCCTACTGGGCTCAGACCGGGGTGCAAGAATGACAGAAAAGTTTGTGGGGGACCTCTGACGCAACAAGTCCATTTTGGGGAGAAATCGCTACAAAGGTTTCGCCGCGGGGGGCATCTATAACTTTTCCCTTAAAAAATGCTATGAAAGTACAGCTGCTGTGATGTCAGGCCGGGTGTCATAACTACAGGGGTCGCCCGTGGTGTGAGAAAAAAAAAAAAAAAAAAAAAAAAAAAAAAAAAAAAAAAAACACCCACCCCAACGGTTCCTTCTCTACCGAAACTACAGTTTTGAACTCCCAGCATAGCGTTGAGTTTCATCAACGGCTGAATGAGGAGGTGTTTGTGGAGATGTGCAAAAACGGCATAGTTGAGCTTGGCTCAACCGTGCATGGGCTCAAACACGTCCATGCAGTAGCGTTGAGTGGAATCAAGGATACTACCGTAGTGGGACTTGGCCCATCCTAAAATTGTTTGCTTTTCATGCCCTGGTTGCCCTAGAGCACGGTTTTGGAGTGAGGAAGTGGGATCCTGATGGCGCTAAGTCGCTGACGTGTGCCTGTTTTTTTTTGTGCTTTTCTTTTCCCCCCTCCCTTCCCGGAAATTTCTGTTGTGCTGCAGTGTGGAGAAAACGACACTTTTCGTTAACTCTGGGCCCTGCGCCTATGGTCCTTGCTCGGGTGGTAATTGGAACTATGCCCAGTGCGGTCGGAACTTCTACACCTCAGGAAACCGTGTCTGCAGGAGAAACCCGCACGAGCCGGTTTATGGCGAGTGCGTCATAATAGAAATCACTCAGGCTACATACACCGACAACACCAACTGGAGGGGGGAGGACTGCATCATCATCAGGACAAGCCCGTGAACATGAGGATCAGATAGGCGAGCTCTAGAATAGGGGTTTTTCTTCCAAGTCTCATAAGTCACGTGGGTGAAGTGTCATAAGTCACTCTGGCTTGTCACGCAAGCAAGGGTGATTTGTTAAGTCAGGATCACTTCCTTGAATTCAGTAAGAGGCGCAGAGAAGCTTATGACCGCGACGATAGTCATCCACCCACCAGCCACTCAGTGCATACCAGGAGAAGGGGAGGAGAAGGAGATCCTCCTCTTCTTTTTAATGTTTTCGTCCTTCGCCTGCTCTGCTCGTGCTTTGTGTGTAAGGTCACACTACAAGTTTCTTGACTGCTGAATTTGGTCACCAATTTCTTGTCAGATGCCCTTCCTGCCAATTGCTCTCTCTTCAAGTCTAATTATAGTCTCAATTCATAGCTCTCATGGGACAGGTTACTTAACTGAATGGCACTCGGTTCCAACTTCTTTTGCTTCTTGGCTTTCTCATATCACCTCGGCCCCCCTCCTCCTGCTCTCTCTCTCTCTCTCTCTCTCTCTCTCTCTCTCTCTCTCTCTCTCTCTCTCTCTCTCTCTGTGGACCACCCCCCTGCGTGTGGTTGAAATGATTAAAATGATAAAGAATCTTCGTGCAATCAGACTCGTTCTCAAACACACTTTTCATACATGTAAACAGCAACGCAGCATACTGGCGACATGCGCCCACTCAAAACTCGGAGATATGGCTTTCAGATACGAGTTCACTCTCAATTGGCTATGGCGACTTCAGCGCCCAAACATCTCACTGTTCACATACACTGGATCACCCTGGATATCCCACACGCATCACTCTAACACTCGAACACACACACACACACACACACTCACTACTAACTACAGGGTATGGCAGCTATCGCTGCATCTAACCTATCGTTATGCTAACTCCCGCTCTCTTGCCCACTGCGTCCTCCGGGCTCATCTGCAGACCTCCTTGCACAAGTCGCTGTGGCAGCGCTTCTGCATGGCTCACGCAGGAATGAATGTATGGCTGGGCGCTGCCTCTTGATTTATACTTCAGAAACTCGTTGGTCCGCCCTTTGCCATCGGCCCTTGGTGCTCACAGTCCCCCTGTGGTACTTGCTGGACCGGACTGGGACTGACTGGACCTTCCGCTGACTGACTGTGGACTTACCGCTATCCTACCGACGTTGTACTGCTGTTGCACTGYRGTTTAGTCCACCACTTGCCTCTCCACTTGACCACTTGCCCACTTGCCTACCTTCTAGAAGGTCTACAGCTAAGCTTCCCGAACTCACTAAGACTCCTACGCTATAGACCTACAGATCGAACCCCTGCTGCCTATGGACCTACGACAGGCCTACCAACTGCCTACGAATACACAGGTCACAGGTTCAATTCTCGGGGTCTACACAGATACTGTACATGGATAGGGTGAGGTCTAGGGATCGAACCCTGGGGACTGCATCCGCCACTGCTAAAAGGTGAAAACCGTTTCATTCGCGTGATATGGGGAGGATTTATTCGGATTATTCCCATTTTGCACATTCCAGATTCATGCCGCCCCCCCAACACCTCTCTCTCTCTCTCTCTTGGTTTTAATTGATTTGTTTTCCTTTTTTTTTATGCTTCGCGTTTTTCTTTTCTTCTTTTTCTAAAAATACTTCTGTGTGCTCAGGCGGCAGTGAGCTTTTTTTTTTTTTTTTTTTGCCGGGCCAAGTACTGGTGGGTAAAGGATGGATCTTTCCCCAAGGAGATGGCATGTCCTCTTTGGTAAAGAAAGTGCAGGATTGCCCTAGGAGTTTAGGCAGTCATTCCATACATAACACTAAGTTACAGGATGGCAAGATGCTAGTTCCACCGAAATACTGCATTCCCTTCCATCTCCCCTCGGTCAAGGAATTTTGTGGCAATGTCATTAATTATGAGGAATAGCAACCAGGGTCCGCAACTCCTACTCCGATCAGACCAAAAGGGGATCCACAGATCCACTCACTATCCATGGAGACCCCCCCTGAGCCTACCCCAATATTGTATATGGCAAGGAGAATGATGGACAAACGCTTTGAGATCCGCCCAGTCCCCCAGCTTTCGATTGTTTCACTGACGAAAATGGGGGCTTCGAGCAGCGCATACACAGTCCATTCAGTGTGTCTGGATGCAACTCTGATCCCAGGTACAGACTTCCAAGTCGCAGGCAATCGCCTATATTGAGCACCTATCTCGTGGTTCAAGTCAAATAACAACAAAGAAAGCAACACAACACTGCTAGGAGACGGCACTAAAGGAGATACTATCAGTGATGTGAATGACCCCCTCTCCAAGGACATGAAGGTACACTCGAAATGCATAAGTGATGCTCCCAAATCTCTTTGGGAACCAGCACAGCCCAACAGACTTTATCCACAGATAGGCGGATCCAATCTGGCTCCCTGCAGGTGCCGAGGATTCGAGGAATGGCATTGCATAATAGAATCAGGGTAACATAGTGGAATGTCCGTGGGTGGACAAAAATGGAAAGCACAAGAGATCCCGCTTGAAATCCTGGATCCATGAGGTGCGAATTTAAATTGCACTGATCTAGGAAACCAAACTGGACACAGTCAGAAAATAAATTCAATAAAAGAGATCAGAAGTTGGTGGACCGGGCCATAGATTTTGGCCCCTGCTGATGGTACGAAGAGAGGATGTGGGATTTTGATCCACAAAGCTCTCCCCTGCACTGTTTCCAGTATGGACTTTGATCGGATAGGCAAATGGGCAAAACAGATAATCATACTTAATGGGGTCACTTGGGGAATCATGTCCATCTGTTCCCCATCAGATGATCATACCACACCAACAAGATTCCTTTTATTCATTCTCTTAAAGGCGTTATCCCAACTGCTGATCATGTCATCATTGGAGGGGACTGGAACACTGTCCCCAGCAGAAGCTATGGGCTCTACATCTCCACTCTCACACCCCTCTTAGTCCCTTGCTTTATGTGAATTGATGGCCAGTAATAATTTATTTCATCCATACAGATCCTTTCATCCACACAATGCAAACTTCACATGGGTATGATGGGTGGCCTCCAATAAGGCTAACAATGGGGAATACACAAGAAGAGGACTTGACATCATCTTGGATTCTTGGTAGATGAATAGACAATGCCTTTTGATCATGCAAGCAGATATCCTAACAGCCTCCCTATCGGACCATAAGCTTGTATTGTTGTTCTTGAACACAGGCGCTACAATAGAAAGGGGTAAGGGTTGTTTGGAGCTAAGCATGCACATCTTCAAGGATCCAGGTATGAACGAGTGGGTAGTGGGATTTTGGGAAGAATGGTGAAATTTCACTGACGTTTACAATAGCCCAGGTGACTGGCTGAAGGACTGCACCTCATCTCTGGGCACTTCAACCTCTTCTCGCTTATCAAAGCAGTGAAAAAAAGAAGCGCACCTGGGAAGTACGTCTTTCTAATCTGGACGAAGCGGTGTTCCAGGTGGATGCATGAATGACAAGAGGAACAAGTAGATAAACACGAAGCTTTGTCAAAGCACAGACAAATTAATAAAATAATGGAATCGGATAGAATGATTAAAATTACCTTGAAAAAGGACAAAGGTAATCTTGCATCCTCTTCGATGACCGAGATGACACCACCCTTCAACTCGAATGACACAATTGCGAAATCTTCAGAACAAATCTTGCACTATATATGTTGAACTTCCTTCTACGAGTTCTTACTCACTTCAGAGACACCCAATAATACCACAAGCACAGGAAAGTTTATTGTTGGAAAATACACGACGTATCCTCTCCACCGGGGAAGAGATGAAACATGAGTCTTCAATTACATTAACCGAACTGACAACAACCCTAAGAAGCATGGCCAAGAGAAAGTGCCCAGGCCAAAATGGTCTTCCATTCGAATTTGATGACTTGTTCAGAAACATTCTCGACCATGACATGCTGAGAGTACTCAACAACGTTCGGGATGGGACCAAATTGGGCAAACGTATGTGACGCGTAAAAATCACGCCCTGCGCTGCTTTCCGTCCGGAGTGCTAAAGGTCTGGAAACGAGGCCCCAAAAAACAGCAAGATAAGGTGTGTCAAGGATTTCTGGAAAATTGAGTGTGGGGACACAGACAAAACTGAAATCCGCCGTGTTGATTTGATGAAGTGAGCGATCTGGCGGGTCTCGACGCGCGCAGGTTTCGTGACGCGGGGAAGTTTTGAATTAAATCCAAAAAGTATTGTCGGACTTCCTACCGGGCCACGGCTCGTTTTGGAGTGGAAGGGAGCGGGCACGTGTTTAGTATCCGGTTTTCCCAGTATCTCCCGACGCCACACGCTACAGAATTCTGAATCCGACGTGGGTGGTCTCAATCGCGTGGCCCTTTCCTTGTGCTCGTCCTCATTTCGCGTTCGGTAATGGAACCCCTTCGACTGGTAGTGATCGAGATGTTAACAATCACTACACACGGTGTTAGGCCAATGGGGTGCCACTGCCGACTACGGGATGACGATCAACTCGTTAAAGGGTAGTAGTAGCGAGTACGGCGGAAAGTGCGTATCCACAATGACAAACCCAGCGCCTACGAACCCAGACCATCGATTTTCACGAAGGAAATAGTACTGCCCACCGATCTTTGCGACGACTTTTCGTATGTCCCAGTCACAGATACACGTCCTATCCTAGTTATACGGGAAGGGGCGGAGAGGAGATACGGGAGGCTGTCGCCTAGTCGGGTTGAGCCCGTTAGTCCACATGGCAACCAATCAGAAATAATTCAACCATTCATCGCATGCATGCAATCCTAGCAATCCAATCGGAAAGGCCAGACAGGAAAAACAAAGGGTGCGGAGAAAGAGAAAGGAAAACCCATGCGTGGCGAGACGCGGTCGCTATTTTGTGCTTAGATCGTGTGTCGCATTCCTTCAACAATCACAAATCGAAGCATTCCTGCATTTCCAAATCCCAACAACATTGTCCCTGCCATCGATTCGTCCTAATCAAGATGGGTTTCGTACCCGTTCATTCCTATCTTCCATGCATGCATTCACCGTGGAAGGTGCGAAAATGACTGTCATGCAATTTCCCAACAAGGTGCCGTTAAGAGAAGAATCCTTAAGGGTTGATGCACGCGCATCCACCGTTCACAAGACAAAACCCACTAGTTCGGGGGACTACCGAGGAAACTAATGGAGGAGTTCCAGAAGAAATCATTCCAACACAGTCATCATACTCATTCCATCACACACCAACTTTTTCGTAGAACCATCCACATCAGGAAGAAGGAGAAGGAGAACTGCGACAKAAACAGATGGGGATATCAATATCAGAGGGAAGAGTTACAATGAGATTGAAGAGGAAAAGAAGGTTGGGCTTTACAGCCGCAAGGTCACACCAAAGAATAGATTCGTAACCAAGAGGGCACACTTGCCATTAAATTCCAACACGGCCTCGGGCCAGTCATCCACTCAACTCAGATCACCTGTCCGCATTCTGACACCGACGATCCCGACCGTCGCGCGTTATCCTCCACCACTGCGATCGTCACCTTGCTAACTTAATCTCGACGTGACTTGCCCGGATCCCACAGTCCGTCGTGGCGATCTAGCGCACCGCCAGCCTGTCTACAGTAGGCTCGTCAGGACTTTACGACTCGCACCGTACACATCACCTAGCCACTACTTCCCGGAAGTTGGCCGATGAGTTGAGAGAGAGTTTTGCGGGGGCGCCGACGAATTTTATAGTTGCGAGAAAGAAAAGAGATGCGGAGAAGAGCGAAGGGTGAGGTAGAGGAGGGCATAAGAGAGTTTTTGAGCAACCGCCCATCGAAAGTCATGTTGATCCCTCCTAACTTGACCTCAACCAATCACAATCGTCGTGCAGTAAGAACTTACACGACGCTTCTCCTTGGCTAGATGGGGAGAGAGGATCGACTGGGTTTTCGAGCGCGGATCTTAGCACGGGAAGAAAAGGAACGCGAAGGATAGCACGAAACGGGTCCAAAATTCAGATGATCAAGAAGGAGAAAAACAGCGCGCGCTGAGAAGGAAAGGAAAAAGCAGTTAAAAGAGGAGGGAGCGAGAAAGCATGCGCGCGAAAAAAGTCGATGCTGGGAGGAAGGACAAGGGAGCTTGCTTACATGGTGCCGGTCAGCGAGAGGGAAATGGGCACCAAAACAGTTGTAGTTTTTCCCAATCCTATGCTAGTTTAAAATTGAAAGTACCATATCCTCGCGGGAAAGAAAATCTTCCGTCGATCCATATTTGTACAAGAATTTCCCAGAGTCTTCAAGGTCGGGGCCGAGAACATTCGCGCGTGGAAGGTCGCGCGGCATTCCGATAATTCCGGGATTTCTAACTGCCGAGCCAAATTCCAAGCGCACTCGCTAAGGCGCGCGAAATTCCCATGCATTTTCAAAACAAGAAAAGAAGGAAGCTGACAGATTCCCGCAAGGTACCTTTAACCGGACACAGACAGAAAGGGGAGAGGGGGGGGAGGGGGTTTCGGGGTCGAACTATACACATTTGAATGCAGAGAAAACACGGGAAAAAGGAAGGGGTTCCGAAAGATGGCGCAAGTCCGGAAGCTAGTACGTCACATATGTGACGCGCACGGGGTTCCAAAATTATGCGATCTCCTGATTGCATGCCATGGCGAAGAAGAAAAGAGGGGGATGGGAGGATGCATGAGGAACCAAGTGTATCAGGAGGGAGGATGCTTCACATCAAGCTGGTAATTGAGCCAGAGTTCATGTTGATGTCAACGTCAATTGCAATTTCTTCGAGAGTCTGCTGGCTCGAGCTACTGGAACCGTCGGAGGTCGTCCAGGTGATGCTACCATCGTCTGTGTTTTCTTTGTGTGCTCTGCACCCTTGCCTTGCTATTGTAAATCCGTTTGGCGGTAGTCGATAAGGAGGGGGTGATGAAGGGGTCGGGGCCACTCAGGTGGGAGCGGAGGAAAATAATCCTCCGCTTCATCACCGAGATCGACAAAATGTACGATCCGATGTGCGCGGGGGAAACGATGATTGGGTCGAGACAGGGAAAGGAGGTAATCGGGATATACGGAGGGAATAGTACGGAGGACATTATCTCTTAGGGACTCGTAGTCCTCTGTAGCAGGAAAGGTGCCGGAAATGACGCAGTACAACTCCATGTGGTTGGACCATGTCCAGGCGACACTAAAGAGAAGGATATTGAGAGGGAAGGAGGGGGATTGATGGGGGAAGACCGTGCAAAGGAGGCGAGCGGCAAAGTGATGCCAGAAGAAGCCGTTGGCAAAAACGCAATAGTTCAGGGGGAATTCGAGATGGGGGAGAGGTCGGAAGTGGCGGAAGTCAAGGGGGCGGCGGCAGACGGGACGAGGACGGTACGTCTGGGCCGGGAGGAGGACGGGGACAAAGCGCGGAGGGGGGGGAAGTGGCCGGAGAAGGTGAGCGAGGGCGGAGGCGCCTGCGGGAGGCTGGATCGCCATCGTGCCAGCTAGCAGCGTCCGAGGGGACAGCAGGATTCAAGGTCGATCCTCCTTAAGCGAGCGGCGGTGCTTGTGAAGCTTCCAGGGGTTCAGGCGTTGACGCCTCTCCTTCTTCCTTGAAAGTCGACTGGGCTTTTGGCTCCTCCTCCTCTGATAGTCCAGCGATGGCTATGCGACCTGGATCGTCGTCTAATGGCAACTCTTCGTTCTCCCGATGCGCTTGCCAAAACTCGTTGAAATCGGAGTTGTCGGGTGCTAGCTCGTCCAAGTCCAAGTAATACCAAGCCGTCGGATCGTGATCGCTCAGATACTGCCCGTAATCTTCCATACAGTTTGCCCAGATTACGGTTGGCGTCAACTTCCTTTGCAGAGTTTCAGGTCCCGCCTGCTTCGGATCGCTTGGATTGTAGGAGATGATGTCCGTCGGTAAATCGTCGACGAACTGCGACAAAAAGGTGAGAAGTTCGTAGGCGACAGCGGCTCGTCCTCCCTTAGCGATTTCTCCACACAACAATCCTACCAACGTGTCGTCGGTATCAGACTCGTTTGGCAACAGCTGCACTAGTACCAACGAGATCTCGTGAGAGTGCTCCAGTTCCCGATTGCTATAGTATCGTGACTAGTGGCACCTCACCGTGAGCATACACACACTAACTGTTGCGAACTCGGTCCACTTGCGAACGTAGGCAGAACTGAATGGGAGGGTGGAGGAGCGATGGATTTCTAGAGTGAGAAGGGGGTTTGCCCCGGATGGCCAGATGATCGGGAGGTCGAAGGGGAGAGAGAAGGTGGAGAAACGATTCATCGGCGTTCGAAGTAGGGAGGAAGATGGGGGGGAGGTCGAGAGGGGCGGTCAGTAGCGCTGGTTTGGAGGGAAAAGGTTTCGATACAATTAGTCCCCACTACTTGTCTCCCTGGCTGGGCAAGTCACTGCCGCCAATCAGCTGCCAACTCTTGTCCCCACCTGTAAAGGTCAGTCACCACTTCGTCGTGCCGCTGCACGTCGAGAGTACACAAATCGCCGTTGAAGGCTACTACCACCATCATGTCGCTCTGAGTCGGCCACAAAAGGCGCCGAACTCCCAAAGCTTCCGCTAAAACGACTGCTAAACCCCAATCGGTTGATATGGTGATCTCCACGGCGGCACATCAAGCTCCGTCGTCAAAGAGTTGCGAAATCGAAGAAGATCGAGGCTAAGACGGGGATGCGCGACCTGGCGAAATTGCAAGAGGGTTCGAAATTGAAGAAGCTGAGCAGGGAGAGCTGGCTCAATATTAAAACTCATGGCGAAGGTGAGGGGGAGATAGATGCTGACGAAGGAGAGAAAACGAGTTCTTCGGTCGCGTCGGATGAAGGAGAAAGAGATGGATTAAGGTTCTCAGAAGGAGGAAGAGGACGAAGGTAGGAAGTGTGGCGGACAATGGGGAGGGAACTTTGGTTGGCGCTGGCTTCGGGCGCGATGCGCACTGTGTTAGCTTCGTTGGAACCGAGCTCTACGACGCGGAAACAACCAGAAAACTTGGGAGCGAGTTTGCGGTCGCGTGCACATTTGCGTACCTGCACCAGATCCCCTAACTTATATTGGTGTTGTGGGCCCGCATTTCCGTTCGGGACCTCATAGCTACGGACTTGCCTACCGTGGGCCAGTTTTGTCATTTTCTGTCTTTTCTGGGCCAGCTTAGGAACGACCCTTTCCATTAAATCCGCATATCTCTTGGCTTAAGCCTTGAGGGCCGCACGCGTGTGCCAGCCCCCTTTGTCGACAATTTCTATGGTACTCCAATTGTCAACACATGGGAAGTTGTTGGTTCGAAGCTGGAAGGGGGTGAACCCTCTGGACTCATGAGGGGTGGCTTGGTGAATTATGACGATTTGATAGACTATCTCGGGCCACGGACACGTGTCACGGGCCGCTAAGTTCTTACGGAGGGCGGTCTTAATCATGCGATTCGCATTCTCTGCCAGCCCGTTCGATTGGGAAACATGGGGAGCGGTGTGTCGGAGCGTAACGCAACGACGTATTAGTAATTTCTCTACCTCACCTTTAAATTTCGATCCATTATCGGTAAGAATTTCCTCTGTATCTAGGTGGGTATTGAGGAATTGATCCGTGTACGTGGCTATCTCTGAGGCCTTTCGGGTTCTACACGGATAGACTTCGATGTATTTCGAGAAATGATCGATCAACACCAAGAGAATGGAGTATTCGCAACGGTTGGGGCCAAGTGGCACATCTATATCATTTGTATCCATACTGACCCGTTGGAACGGTCGTTCGACCTCTGTTGGAACTATCGTATTTGGCCCACGGAGGGGCGCGCGATCGGCAACACATACTAGACAATTAGCGACCACGCGCTTCACATCGTCCCGGATATTAGACCAGAACCATCGATTTTGGTCGATAGTTGCCTCGGTGACACGTATCGCGAAATGAGCGGCCTGTTCTTCGTGCGCGGACCTAGTCCAGTCATATCTCTGAAAAGGGTGGGGAACCGTCGACCATAGCCCTGATCCGTCCGTCTTACGCTTTTCCAAATGTTCGTTGATCCATTGATAGTCTCAGGATCTTTCAGTAGCCCGACGTTTGTCATGCTTAGTGAGATGATCCAATGGAAGGCCTGCTAATTTAGCTAATGAGATTTTGTCTGTCCATACCTCCGCTCATCAGTATTTCTCGTCGTATTCGGGGTCGTCCGTTCGGGCAGCCTCGAATCGAACCTCAATAGGGAGTTTGTCCGTCCTACACAGGGGGCACTTCCATTCCGTACTACTTGTTCGGTATCGAACGCACACACCGTGCGCACGATTGACACACGTGGCACAGTTCACCCAATCGGCAAATCTAGATTCGAAGGGGTAGCAGTTTACTCCGTACACTCGGGAAATACACGTGCAAAAATAACAAAATTTGTTCGGGAGAGTGGCAAGAAAGTCCGAATGGGCAAGGGGATCAAAAGAGGTGGGAGAGACTGAGTTAGGGGGAGTTTCCATCGTTCCGAGAGACGAAAATCGGAAAAGGGGAGGAGAGGTGGGGTACACGTGTCCACTTAGCCCTTCGGCAGGATCTCCACTTGTCCGTATCGAGGCTCGTTCGCTGGTTCCGGGTCGCGCCAGGGGGTTATATCCTCACTCCTTGGCACCTTGTCGGGACAGTGAAGTCGTGTCAGCCCGTCTGTGTTGCCGTGTTTTTCGTGTTTCCGATGACGGATGTCAAAGTCCATGCTTTGCAGTACGGTGGCCCATCGCCCGATCATGCCCGAGTAGTCATTGGACTTGTTTAGTGCCAACAGTGGTTCGTGATCGGTTACCAGCGTAAATCTTCGGCCATACAAGCATGCTCGGAAATGACTGATCCCCCACGAGGCTGCATAGCATTCCCCTGTCGGGGCCGCATAGTTGCGCTTACATGTCAGCACCGTTTTATACTCGTATTCCACCACGTGTTCGAGCCCGTCGGGTCCCACCTAGGCCAAGATTGTTGAAACCACCTCCAATTGCCAATCGGTGATGAGAACAAAGGGCTTTTCCGGGTCCGGCCTTATGAGGACCGAAGCCGAAATCAGGGTCGCCTTAAGTTCTGCAAAAGCCCGATCGCATTGCGGGGTCCAGATCAACGACTGATCCTTCTTTAGCAAATTCGTGAGTGGCCCCGCGATCGCTGCAAACCCCTTGATGAATCTTCGATAGTACAATCCCAAACCCAAAAAGGCGTGGACTTGCGTTATGGACGTCAGCACCGGTGCGTCTTTCACAGTTGTCACTTTCTGGGGCTCAGGCTGCAACCCTTGGTTCGTAACAACGTGGCCGAGTAAGGAGATCTCCGTGAGGAAAAACTGGCACTTCTCAATCGCCACTTTGAATCCTACGTCCTTCAGTGTGTGCAGTGTCCACTCAATGTGTTGCACGTGTCCCTCATAGGAAGTAGAGAAGACAAGTATATCATCCATATATACAATCACACAGTAGTTGATTATGCTCTGCACCAACCACGTTTTTCGCACGAAGTTTTGGAAAGCCAGATTCATCGCTTGTTGAAACGTGGCTGGGGCGTTGCAAATCCCTATGGGGCATATGACCCATTGCCAAGTTCCTTCGAAAAGAATGAACGTCGTTTTCGGGCGGTCTTCTTTTCGAACCAGAAGATGATGGAATCCATGTCGAATATCAAATTTACTAAAGAATCGAGCACCACCGATAACATCCAACAACTCATCAATCCGGGGAGGAGGATACACATCCTTGATGAGGCTTGATCGTGATATTGTTTAGCTTTCGGTAATCGATGCAGATGCGAATTCCTCCTGCGACCGTGGTCCGATAGTGGGTTCAATCCAACCATTAGCTTTAAACTCCTTAATAATCTTGAATGCAGCTGCTCTTTGCGCCGGTGAATACTGATAAGGAGTGCAGTTAATTGGCGGATGATCCCCCGTAAGGATCGCATACTCGATAACAGTAGATAACCCAATATCAATGTCATCCACACTCAATACTTCAGCATAGCCATGCAGCATATCAATCGGGGATCCTCGGATATCTCACGGGACATGACTGGGGATGATGATCACTGCATTATTCGCGATGTTCAGGGATGTTTCAATCCAGTCCATCTTTCGCAATCGCCTGTCTTGCACACTGGAAAACATGGAACTACTGGTTCGGACCGAGAAAACGGTAACAATCATTCGGGATTCAGCCGGGCTGATCATCTCAGTTCCTTTAACTTCGGCGTCGGTTTTAGAATCAACGATGTCTTTGGTTATCTCTACTCCTGTTAGTTTTGTCATTTCCTTCATGAGATCCGAAACGTCTGTTATTGGAGCCTCTACATCTTCCTTGATCAAAGCCATCATGGCTCCTTGCGTGAGCAGTGATCTAGGGGGGGAGACAGAGGGATCCAGGTAGTGATTCATTTGCTGATACCTAGCCCGGAGTGAAAGTGTGCTCTCGTATAACGTGCGAAGGGGTTCCAAAATGTCGGCCATATCGAAAATTTGCAATATCGGTTATCCCAAGAATGTCGTTAAAGGAGTCCGTATTTCTGTGGGTAGAGAGCGGTTGGACTTGATGTTTTCCGAGCCAAGATCGAATGTTCGAGTAGTTGCGGGGATCATCCAAAATTCTTTTTTTGCCTCACAATCATACATTTCCACTAATTGCTTTCATTCTTTCTCGCTGGGCATATCGCTCAGTTCTTTCTCATAGTCGCGTTTATTGAACTTGTCTTCCCACGCAGGGGGTTGTTCGTCATCAGGATTCGGGAGAGACTTCTCCAGGTTCTGAATGATTCTTATCCGGTCGATACTGGGATATCTCCTTGGTGATCGAGTACAGATTCGGAGAGGGAGTGTTTGAGGTTTCCCTCCCGTATGGGTGAGAACGAGTTGTTTGGAATCAAAATGAATCTGTGCACCTACTGCCATCGTCCAGGGCATTCCTAGCAATATCGAATAAGAATGCATGTCAATGGCTAACGTGTTAACGAGCACATGCACTCGGCCCACCTTGATCGCAACGTTCTCTATGATTCCTACGATGTTCATGGCCTCTTCATCGGCCGAGACATAGTTGTCCTTCCCTGGTAGGGGAAGGATGAAATTCAGTTGTCCAGTCTTTCGGACTGTGTTCAGGGAAATGGCTACGGCTGATGACCCAGTGTCAATCAACGCATCGAACGGTTCACCCCAGACTTCACAATCACATTCCGCACTTTTCCATAGGACCGATCATACACGCACAAAATGAATTTTCTCGACGTACGAGATGGCGGCGATTCTTGCCGTTTCCGGTGCATTCAATTCGACCGCCGGTGGAGGATTAACTTCGCTCTCGTTTTCTTGCTTTTTCTTTAGCATACGCTAAATGTGGTGATAGGTAAAGCGTTTCTCATTCTTCTGGCATTGCTGCAGAAGCTTGTCATTGGCATTTTCGGATATGGTCAACAGGTGTCCTACATGGATCGACACTCGAATATCATACTGTTTGAGTGTCTGTAGGAGATCGATTTCTCCTGTTTGGAACTGAGGCCCTGGTTCCAATGTACATTCGACCCAATCGAGCTCTTTTTTTGCGGGTCGGATAGCTCCGATCAGTCCAGCCAACTGGAGGTACTCGGTTGGATCGACGATATCCGCAGCCTCGAAAGAGGATCCTGACGTCGATGCGCCTGGATCGACCGAGGAGGGTTGATCGGCAATGAAGGGGGAAACTTCCCTTGCATGTTCTAATACCGACGCCACCCGTCCTTGGTTGAAGGCTAATGGCGCAGCCGCAGGGGGCGGCTGATTAC